AAAATCTATTTTAAAAACGGTGCAACTCAATCAAAACTTTTAAAAGCTTATTCGACAACCTCGAAACGGAAAATCTTTTGAAACTTGAGAATCAATCATTATAAAAAACGCGGAGCGGAAACTCAATTTTTGCCATTAGATAAAATCAGGATTTTGAACAATTCATTTATGGCAAGTCTATAAAAGTAAAACAAAGCTGACTGTTTTCTTGAAACTAACAAAAAAGAAAACGAAGCAAAAAAATTTACACAAAAACAAAAAAATCTGCCCGAAAGCTCGGATTTTCGGGCCGATTTTTTTGTTTTTGTGTGAATTTTTTGCTGCGTTTTCTGTTTTGTTCCAGTTTCAAGAAAACAGTCAATGGAGCTTTGTTTTACTTTTATAGACTTGCCATAAATGAATTGTTCAAAACCCTGATTTTATCTAATGGCAAAAATTGAGTTTCCGCTCCGCGTTTTTTTTAAAATGATTGATTCCCACAAAAAAAACTATTTAAGCACATATCTGCAAAACTTCTGTCATTTCTAGCCCAGCTTGCGATGAAACAATTACAGGATGAAAGCACCATGACGATCAAAAATTAGCAAACAAAACATCGAACGAAGTTGTAAATGCAGAAGGGGAAAAAATAAAAAACCAAGTATTTTTATCTTGTTCTGTTTAAATCTTGCGTTTAAAGCAAGAAATTTTTCAAAGGTTCTAGTAAGGTTGACATTCAGCGTTCAAAAACATGTTAAGACATTGTAAGAAAAAATCGGTAAATAAGCCGGCAGAACTAAAGTCGACAGCCGATAAGCTGAAACTTAGCGAAAAATGTTCGTTGAAAAATCATATTAGAAAAAATTGCATGTAAGGCCCACATACGATCCACGCTAGCTATATACGCTAGCGTATTCAAAGTGGAATATACAACTTGGAAACTAAACCTACAGAGCTTAAGTCGACAATCATGAAGCCGAAAAATCATCAGCAGAAAATTGATATCCAAGTTCTAAGTTATAAAAAAAAAAAAAAAAAAAATTATTTCAAATAGCAAAACAACAACTGAAGCATGAAACCAAGATAGCACCGGGAAGGAATGAGTGCACCATATGGGAAATCTATCAGATAAAAAGGCCGGATATTGGCAATGACATGATAAAAAAATTCGCAGAAAGTGAGATACAAGGTGACAGAGAATTAGAGGATCATAAAAACTTCATCGAGAGAAGCTTGAGGGCTTAGAGTTCCGATGACACTTGCTGCGTTGGACATCTGTATGCAAACTGATATTCTTTGCCTAAGGAAGGCAGAAGCACGGGCTTCGTTGGTGGAATCTTGAATCAGCTTGCCGAGCTTAGAAAGAAAACGTTTGGTGTCTGGTCCTGCGCCTCCTTGCAATTCGAATGCGACAGGCTGAAACAAGTAGCCACTATTGATGATTTCAGTGTATTTCATTCTTTTCGTCTCTTCTGCTGTAGTCGCTGCTTTCAGGGGCTCGAATGAGTCAATTCTACTGCTGCACAATGCGTCCACGACCGTGGCATCCCATACCATTGGTTGGCCTCTGGACAAAGGTGTAGACGTGAGCCCATCCGGCCTTTTCCGATCTGCGCGGCAAAGTCCAGGGGGTTCTAATACCGAGTGTATGTTGGCGCTGGCAAGACCCCTCTTCACTATGTCATTCAACATCGAGTGGCGAGTATGACGGCCGGCGCTCATTTTGCAAGCCAAACCATGGTGGCCATCTTCAGAGACTTCTTTACCGCATCGGCATTGGTGGGGTTCGCACACTTTGCCGCCCAAACGCAGTGCCACACTGATGCGGAGTTGGATATCTGTGAGTTTCAAGCCCAAGTTGGATGATGATGGCAGAGCCTGCAGCCAGCTTCCCGCCATCTTTCCAGAGTAAGCTTCTATTCTATTGTGGTCTGTCAATGAACAGTTCTCAAGCATCGAGGTTTTTAGGTTCTCGAATACTGGCCAAGTCCAATTCTTTTGGGTGCATCTATTAGTTGGTGGAAGTGCTTGTGCAGTATCACCCCAGAGTTCCAGAGCAGTTTCTTCGTCGCCTGTTGGTCCGGTACAAGTGGAGATTTGGTCTGACAAAGCAGCGCAAGAGCTCGCGGAGGATAGAAATAAGGAAGTCGCAAGCAATGACGCAGATGGCAGACCCAGGCCACCCACTTTAACAGGCAGACAGGCTTGGATGCGAGAAGAATCTGTAGTTGAACATTGGTGATTTTTTTCCAGGTCAGAATGGAATCATAGTTGGAGAGTATGTCGGGGTGCATGAAGCACGGTGACGTTCGGAGCAGAAATGTCAGTTTCGGTATACTGAACGAGTTTTTCAAAAGAAAAAGCGCCGAGTGTGCCTCGATTTCGACCAGGCGTTCGCTCAGTAGTTCAAGATCTTTAGAACGTTTGGTCAATTTGTCAAGGACACAGTCAGCACCCATGCCTGCACCAAGGATGCATAGGTCATCCAGTGGAGTCTCTTGTATAGCAGTGCAGATCGTGTTGAATAGTTGCAGTATTTCGAGTTTGAGCTCTTCACTCGGTGAACCTAGGAAAGTTAGCTCACATTTCGAAGGCTTAACTTTCAGGCCAAGCATACGAGCGCGCTCTATCACCAGTTTCAAGTCCTCGAAAACTACCCGGAACTTATCAGCAAGATTCCCATCGTCCAGATACCAGAAGTTAAGAGCAGAAGTCAGCGAATGAATCATGTCGTTAATCGTGTCACAGAAAATGGGCGGCCCCTCCGAGTCTCCTTGTTGAGCTCCTTCATCTGAGTTCAGAATATGAGATCCAAAGAACAGATAGGAGGGTTGGCTATAGGCTGAGAACGCAAAATTTTTCAGGCGAAGGTACTTTTCGCTAATGTTCTCCAGCATCTGTTGCCTTGAGATTGAGTTGAAAGCATTTTCGAAATTAATTTCGCTGATGCCTGGAGAAGATAGGAATTTGCCGGTGGCATGGACTGCCGCCTCACATCCATTTTTGGTGCCGAAGCCCAGTTGAGTAGATCCATATGAACATTTTCTTTGTTCTAATAGTTCGTGGTCTTTGCCGGCACATTTTGCTGCCAATCTGCGAAGTGTGTTGCCGACTGCTATGGGCCGAACGCCGGAAGACGGTTTTTTGAGTGCGAACAAATTTGCCCCGAAAAAGAAAGGTCTGATATCAATCGGTACACCACCGCTCAAGACGATATTTGTGAGCCCGGTCAGGTCTTCAATCAGTTTGTTTCATGTTTCGTTACACATTCCAATCATGTCTTTGATAATTTGAGGCCTCAATTTATCAGGCCCACCGGCTGAGCCGTTCGGGAAAGAATTTATACAAGAGTGAACCGTAGAACCCACAGTATTGATACATTCTTGTTCTTTGTTTCCCTGAACAGCATAGGCGAACTTGTGCCGGGGGTGTTTTTCTTCCATCTCATTTACAATTTGGGGTGTAATTTCAGGCATCGTGTCATTGCGTGAAGCTATCCGTATGGCACCTCGGATATTGCCATCATCAATTTTCTCTTGGACCCTTCTCCTGAGACTCTCTGTTTCCTTTTTCGGCTTCGCCTTTTTTTCGGCTGCTCCGGAATCTCAGCTGTGCCGGAAAAAGATCTTATAGCTGAGTTGACTGAACTGGTGAGGTTTGTTCGGTGTTTTTTCCCTCCTCTGTCAGTCGCCTTCAGACAGTGGGCGGGGATACTCATAAGCTTCAGCCAATTGGAAACTTCGTCAGGGTTTGGAGATATCGATGATAACTTCGCTATAGAGACAGGCTAAGTTGACTCTTGCTCATTTCGGGACACGTTTGAGTATGGGGACTTTAGCGAAGAACAGCTTGCGGAGATAGGTGGAAGCCTCGGAATCGGGAGGGACGCTCTCTATTCTGAGATCTCCCATTAGTTGAGAAAGGCCGCTAGACTGGTGCTCGGGCGCGCTACCAGTATGAGTCAAGTCCTGTGGAGGGATATCATCAGCCAAGACAACTGAATCCGGTAGGCAGCGGTTGCAGATCAAGCCTGGCTTCCAGTGTTTAGAACTCGGTAGGGGAGTGTGCTTGAGGTGAACAAAGCCGCATATGCTACACCAGACTCCTCCGCCCCGTAGATGCTTTGAACACACGCTGCAGTGAGTCTGATCTACTTCATCTTCAGTGACCGTTGGTTGCTGTTGCTGCATTTCGCGTAGGTGTCACATTCACATATATGAAACTATTTAATAAGTTTATCACAACAATTAGGCTAAAAAATGTTTCGAGTTCTAGATATAGCATGCAACATTAATAACTTAGATTTGAATTTTCATGAAATTGAGCATGTCAGCAGCATCATTAAAGTTTCAACTGCTTTTGTTAAACTGGTAGTTAACCCTGAAAAAAATCTAGATTCGGATTTGAAAACGCTTGGTAATCCTCAAGCGTAAAAATACTATAAAATTCCTTATTAAGCTAACTGCTTAAGTAACCCTTGCTGTGGCGAGTAAGTCGACTAAAAATAAGAAGACAAACGTAGACTGACTTTTATTTTTCAAATCAAAAACTTTCAATTTGCAAAACAAAAAACAGTTCTTGGCCAGATGCGAACCCCCCATCTTTGTAGTGCCAGTCATGGCCGTTAACTCCAGACGAAACGTGCAAAAACAAATGAGGAATTTGAACTCTTCATCAATCTAGCCATCAAACTATTCAGTTAATCTGTTAAACAGGTTTTTGCATTAAAAAATCCATCTTCCGAATTGATGACTCTCGCTAATCGCAGGCGTAAATACGGTCATTGCAGCAATTCAAGGAAAACGTTTTTTAAAGGAAAAATCTGGTACCCTGTTGCAATACTCTTACTAATAGCAATGAAAAAAAATCTTATTCTAAATCGAACTTTACGAAAAACCAATTACCAACTTAATCATTAACAATACACGACCACTGCTGGAATGTTCATTCAATCTAGTACACCTAGCCTCTGATAAACAGTCCGTCGGGGACCCTGGCTGATTTCAGTTGTCTTGTTTTAGAGAGCGGAATCAACCATTTAATGTCATCCACTAAACGCGTATGCCTAGAAGACATCTCAGTTCTCAGCGAAGGTGTACCGCTTCCTCCATATATTGATGTACACGCAATCATGGTAGTTCTCGCTTGGGGATTTCTTATACCATGTGGGGTGGTTATGCTCAGAGTTCTTCGATTCACGTCCTTATACGAAAAAGAAATAAAAGGATTTAGCGTTTTGATCATCATGCACGGCTCTGTAAACACTTTGGGACTATTTTTGACTATGATTAGTGGAATTTATATGATTATCGAGACCGGTGGTTTCGAAAAGGGTCTTCATGCTGTATTTGGAACAGTTGTTTTATTCCTATGTACAATTCAGGGCTTACTTGGATTCATCCACTTTTTTACTTTCTGTTCGCTGAAACTCTATTGGGTTCATCGTTGTCTTGGTGGAGTTTTGACATTTTCTTCACTTCTGAATATCTTCCTCGGAATTAAGAGAGTAGAAGACAGTGGTGCACCAACGGTAAGTTTCAAAGTCGGCAATTTTCTACCTTTTATCGTGATACTTTGAGAAATTAACTTCATTGACATTGAAGCACTTTATGGCACTAATGCGCTCTCACTTCTCAAACAATGAAATTCAATCAAAAAGTTCAGATGATTCAAACCATTTATTGTTTAGGGACTGTATGTATTTTACCTGTTCATAGCTGGGGCAGTGGCAGTGGCGTACGTGGCTTTCGAAGTTTATCAATGCACTACTAATCGCGTAATGGGCAACACTCCTTTTCTACTAATGATGTTTTATATTCTCATATTGATCTTTCTGCTTGTACTATTTGGAGTGGAGTTCTTGTCAACATTTCTAAATTAACTGAAAATAGATTTAACCTGATTTACTTCAAAATAACTAGCGCACTCGTAGATGCTAAAAATACTTCTAAACATTCAGTTAACATTTCTACCGGTAAAACAAATGAAATGACCGTAAAACACTGCTTTTCACCAAGCCACTCAGGGGTAGATTTAGGGCGGTTCACTTAGAAAAAAAATCAAGATACGGGGCAAAAACGCATCTTTTATCGTACCTCTATAAATAGTGCACCTCTATAGAATATCAAATTAAATAAGTATTTAGTCAATGCATAAATATACAAATAGTTCAGATATGATTTGCACATCATAGGCAAATGAACAAAGTCTTTTATTCTGGTTTTGGAATGAGATTAGGCGATGCATTTGGGCTGGCATTGAAAAAGCACAAACTAGATAGGTCTGTATTGTAAGCCGATAAAACAGATGCGATGAACTAGCAACGTGAGAATATGGTCCTAACGCGACTAGTGTATGGCTTTGGCACCACTTTGGTGACTTTAACACATCTATTCCAGGCTCACGAATCTTTTCCAGGCGAACAATTTTTACTAAATAATTCGGTGAGCAAACGCAAGAAATACAGACAGCCTTAAGTTAAGTTGATAGCAACTGATATGAAAAAATTTAAAATTGCTCTTACCGTTTTGCCTGTGATTGCTCTCAGTGCCGATGGTTTTACATTGTTTTTAGGGAGCAAATCCCTCAAATCTGTTTGATTTGCAAATCTTTAATAATTTTTTTAGAAAGGTCAATTAAAATGCGCCCTTCCGTCATGCGACAGTACGTGCACAGGTTGGATAGGGCTGTACCAACCCTATATAAATACATCGGCAAAATTTTATGAATAAATCAAGTCGATATTAATGCATCAAAATAAATGTGAATTAAAATCTACCCTCCTCGATTATCGCACACATAAAATTATCTATGTTGGATGTATTTTTAAGATTTTTGCACCCCTAAGGCAGAGGATTGCACTCCTCGGAAGTGCAAAACTAATTTTTGTTCTTATAAAGTTTACTGTGTCCGAGTATGATTCGTTCTGTTTTTCGCTTAGTTTCTCTGCTAGTTTCTGGATTGTTTTTGTAGAGCCTTGTGCTGTGTGCCAGTCGGTCATATTCGGAAGTTTGACCTTGAGAGAAGCAAAAAACACTTGATTTTGGAGTGAAATTTAATTTTTCAAAATTTCGAATGGAACCTGTCATGCACGATTTTCTCGCGATAACTGAAAATCAGAAGAGAGAAGTCAGAACAATCGAGTGACAATCGCGGGAAAGTTGCTAAATAAAACGGTGGGAAATTGCTATTCGCAATTTCTGTCACAATAGAACAAGAGTAGAGCTGTCCCATCCAAAACAGAGACGAGAGCATTCCCACGAACTGGATTGTTGTGACTGGAGTACTATTATTAACTGGACCAGAGTGAACCTTCGGTGGAAAGGTGGACAGCTAGAGTGTCCCAATGGTTCACGAGAACTTACAGTCTAGAGAAAAAACTTGTTATTATTATTAAAACTGACTAACATTAAACTCATCTTAGTTACTTTATTGATTCTTGAGTTGCTTACCGACTCATTTACTTCCTGGTTCTTGAGAGTGCTACAATATGAGTACTAATTTAAATTTCTAGAGTGTGTTTTATGATCATTATGTTGAGGTAAGGCGAGTTTTAGGTTGATCCATCTGAAATGGATCAAAGTTCCACTGTCTAATAAAAAGTAACTTAACGGATTGTTCCAACCCGGTTTTTAACGGCGTTCATGTATTTTGGGTATCTAGAGACCTAAGTATGGGGACGTTTCTAATTCTAGAGTGGGGGGATATTTTAGTAGTAGCCTTTAAGCTGTAACGGGTCGTAGTCTCATGTCACAAACGAATCGAACTGGCTCCGACCGTTCTTGAGGTAGAAAAACACAAGAGATGGTGTCCCTGACCCTTGAGCCAGTGGTTATAGGGCCTATTTTTCTTAAGCCTCATGTGTGACTGCAGTAGACGAATGTTACATAGTGTTTTTATGGCGCTCCTGGGTGTTTACGACATCAAGACTACGGAGTCGAACCCACTTGAGACAGCTTCGGGCTGAATGCCCTTTCTAGAGTACCGGCGGTACGGTTCGACAGGAACGTGCAAACCTTCCGGTTGAACCGTGATAGCTTTTTAAGAAAACTCGAGAAAATTTCCTGGTACGCTTTCCGAACGAGGCTTAGCTAACCGAGTAAAGGGGGGCAACTAGGGAGACAAAAACACGAGCAAAAAGACAAAAAGCAAAACAAAAACCAAAAAAGAATAGAAAAAGGAACAAAAACCATAAAACGAAAAAAGACAGTGACTTTGACACCAGATTAGTTGGATCAAACCTTTATATTAATTAAATAGTATACCCATACTGTTTTACAAGTTCGATCGTTTCGATCAACCTAGCAATTTAAACCAGTAAACTGAATAAAGTGCCCGAGTGTGGGGCGTTGTCAAGGGTTTTCAGATAGCTTGGAACTTAGCTGGACCAATAGGAGACTTCACTGGAAGAGGTGACCAGCCGAGTGGGAAAGTGGTTCAGGGACACTTGAGCTGAACCAATAGGAGACTTGACTGGAAGAGGTGACCAGCCGAGTGGGAAAGTGGTTCAGGGACACTTGAGCTGAACCAATAGGAGACTGGACTGGAACAGGTGACCAGTCGAGTGGGAAAGCAGCCAAGAAGGATTTGGCAATTCTCGAGTTCTCAAGTTGGGCAGAACGGGTATCGTTAAAATCCACATTACATTATAGGAGATAAGTGTAAAATAGGATAAGCGACATCCCCCGGTTTTGAGGAACGTTTTTACTTGAGCAGGCCTGGAGACAGGTCTACGGTTTTCTCTTGAGAGGTTTAGCACCCGGCGCTTAAGGTAATTTTAGGCTTAAGAAGGGGGGCTAAAAAGGGGGGAGGTTAGAAGGGGGCTGGTTAAGTTAGAGGTTGGCGGTTGTAAATTGTAAAAAGGGGGAAATTAGAGTAACTAATTAGTCGACATCGTTGACTTAGTTACATTAGAAATTAAAACGCGTTGGTAATATTAGGTGGATATCGAAATTTGAACTCGAGTTAAGGAAGGTACCCTGGTCGGATTGGCAGGGGGGAAGGGACATAGACAGTTTTTGTAATACCCCATAAGATCGCTAGCAGGGGGGAAGGAAACGCGTGGCAATTAGGTACAAGACATTTTTTTTCTCGATAGAAGGCAGACATTTGTCACCTTTGAATTTTAGGTGGGCTCATCTTTCTGTTTTTATTACTTTTTCTTGCTTAGATTTTTGTTGCATTTTGGTGAGGATTTGTGTTAAAATTTTGTACGAACGGGTGATCACAAGATACCTGCGCACAGGTTTTGGTCTCAAGTTACTTGGAACATTGAAATAGAGGTAGCCAAAAAGAGAAATAAGAAAAAGGGGGGTCAGCATTTGGCTTTTAAGAGAGGATTTTGGGAAAATTTTACTAGAGCTTGAGTGGTGGTACAAGGTACGGCGAATCAAGAAGTCCCCATAACGAAGAGGGAAAAAGTCCCACCACCCAGACACTTGTCAACAGTCTTGGGACAGTGCCGAAGAAGTCTTAGGACAGAGCAGTCTTGGGACAGGGTCTTGGGACAAGGTCTTGGGACGGGGTCTTGGGACAGGGTCTTGGGACAGGGGTCTTGGGACAAGGGTCTTGGGACAGGGTCTTGGGACAAGGTCTTGGGACAGGGTCTTGGGACAAGGTCTTGGGACAGGGTCTTGGGACAAGGTCTTGGAACGGGGTCTTGGGACAAGGTCTTGGGACAGGGTCTTGGGACACTAGTCTTGGGACAGTAGTCTTGGGACAGTAGTCTTGGGACACTAGTCTTGGGACACTAGTCTTGGGACACTAGTCTTGGGACACTAGTCTTGGGACACTAGTCTTGGGACAGTAGTCTTGGGACAGTAGTCTTGGGACACTAGTCTTGGGACACTAGTCTTGGGACACTAATCTTGGGACGGTAGTCTTGGGACAGTAGTCTTGGGACACTAGCCTTGGGACAGTAGTCTTGGACAAGAGTCTTGGGACACGGCCGGAAAGTACTGGGACGGTACCGAACAGTCTTGGGACAGGAGAAAGAAGCCTGGGACGGTACAAAGAAGAGTAGGGACGGCAATTGGAAGTCTTGGGACAGTGTAAAAAATTGAAGTAAAATTACAAGAAGTGTTTTAAGACAGAATTAAGATAGAACAAGGTTAATTGGAACCAGGTACGGTTGAGACCACAAATAAGGAAAGTTTCTCGAAAAGTTAATAAAGAGAACTGAAACAAGGTTTTCACCACGTTGTATATTCCTTTTTCTCTTCCTTCCCGAAAGATTTTATTCTTAGAATAAGGATTGTGTATAGAGTAAAACTGTAAATAAAAGCAATTGTAAATAGAAATAATGAGGCGGAGCAGGGTACCGGTAGCTGAAAAAAGACCTACCGAAGCAAAGTATAATTCGTCGCTACGCAAAACAACATCAATGGGCCCAAAGATAACAAAGAAGAACTTTTCAGTTAACATGGTCAGCACAAGGAGTACAGCGGAGAACAGAGCAAGAGAGGGCATGGAAGGGGAACGAGTAGAACCCACCATCGAGATTGATCTAGAGACACCTGATCAAAGTGTTGATGAAACAAGGAAAATAGCGACGGAGTCAACTCCAATGCCCAATGCAGAAGAACCAAACTCGAAACCCATAGAACTCTTACCAATAGACAACGTGGAAGAGGCAACACCGAAGAAACGGTGAAAGAAGACTCTCAAGTAAAAAAGACATCTTTTACAGAAAGGTTGGCGATGATGGTCGGAATAAAAACGAAAGAGAACGTGACTGAAGAACCAAAAGCTGAAAGAGCACGAACATTTGGAACAGTGAGCACGAAGACGACAGAAGCCAATCCGAGAGAGTAACAAACTAGAGCAGAAGCGACGGCCGAAGAAAAACCGACGGCTGACCATGAAGAGGCTACTCTTGAGCTAGGTGACTTGATGGCGAAACTGAATCAGATCGACAAAAAGCTGAAGCACAGCGAAGAGGACAGAGAAGTGATAAGAAAAGAATTAAGATACAACAAAAACGAGTATC